ATATGGTGAAATGATGTGTTGGTGTTAAAAGTAACATTACACAATGTACACTTTAACAATTCAAAATAATAACGAGTATTAAGATACATCATTCGTGTATTCAGTTATGAGACGCCGTTATATTTCACGCACTTACAGTTTGAAAGTTACCATTCACAGGTCGAGAATTAATATGAATTTCTTCGTTAGAGGTCGCTGTCGTGAACTGACCACGTTATTTTTAAATAAGAAGTTTGCTTCTAGTTGCTGTGAAATTCAACACATGAAATCTAAATACTCGCCATATGAAATGGAACTTTCATCACGAACAGTTACATACAACGTGCGAATTAGGTATTCTCGACATGTGGTATTGAAATTTCAACCAAAGCTGTGTATTTCAAAATATACACTTTAAAATATTGACATAGGAAATATAACTTTAAAACACCATTGTATAATTCAACATATAAAATCTAAAATTTTAATCTAGAAAATAGAGCTTTAAGGATATGCAATTTTATCCAATACGTGATATTGGATTTCTCGACATATTACATCGAAATTTTAACTGCAACTTTCTCATTGGACCAGCTTTTTTTCCGCTACGGCGCTTCATAATACTAATTCCTGTTCTGTGTCTGGCACAGGGCGAGCATTTATAACTGAATCACTTTTCTTCAGACTATACAGAACGGATTTTCATTGGGTAAATTAAAGTGATAGATGAAAGAGATTTGATACTAGGAGACATGACGCGCATATATTCCGCACTTGATATTCCTAACTATTCTTGTCGGCTAGTTCAACTCATACTGACAGTCGTGGCATACCAAGTAAAAACATCTGTTTCTAATGGAGACTGGAAATCTGTATTGACAAGGTAGAGGTTCAAAACCTTTAGACAAACTTCTTCCTTTTTTTCACAATGAGTTCCATAAAATTTCTGCACTTAAACAAAATGAGAATTCCTTGGCAAATAGAAAAATCAAAATTTGTGCAGACCTTTGCAGAAATAAAAATGTGGCGACATTAGGTAAAGAGTGAGCACCGCAAGGGGCACATATTGAAATTTAACGGCAGAAGTATCACCTTTTAGTTCTCGACCCTGTGAAATGCAATGAGTTTCTATATGCACCTCTCCTTAAGTACGGCTTTCAGTTACTTCCTCCTGATGAAGTCATTCTTGGACAACATGGTTGCGTTCAGTACGGCAAGCGTTATGCCTAGTAACGGCAGAAGACAACATGTTATACTGGTCGTCCTGTCTTCTAAAAGAGTTTGCAGCATTTTAGACGAATACTCGCTCGTATTGATCGCGAGTTGGCTCAGAGTTCAATTTTTCTGTGGTTAAACCTTGATTTTCAAATATTAAGAACTTTAACATTTTCTCACCTTAGAAGTGTATATTTAATCCATGTCGTCGAGTAAAAATAAGTCTAAATGCATTGCATACGTACGATATTCAGGGTAAATTATTTGCGTATCTAATTAATTTGGAAAATTTATTTCACCAATTAGAACATTCTAAAGTGAAAAGGCCAGGTCAATATTGTTACATTATCATAAATAAAGTTAGCTATGTAATATGTTGTTTACATTATAATCCTTAAATCTACAATCATGAACAAAAGTTAAACACACATTATAGACAGACAAATGACTGAATACAATTTGTCATTAGAAAATATTGCCATTCTTGAATGACGTAACCTATCAAAAGAAAGTTTTTAGTTTTCAAAATGTCATCAAATAGAAATAGTTACCAAATTTAACCACAACATCAGAAAATACCAGGTTAAAATAGACTAAAAAGAATAACAGCTAGTGATAAATGGTTTTAGAACTGAAGGCAACAAATATTTTTTTTTATCAAATAGATAGAGAGACAGCGCATATTAAGGACAAACGAGCCAGGAAAATATGACTGGAACGAATAACATTGAAACTATAAAATATAAATATTGATTACAAATTATTGCAATAAAAGCATTTGTTAATTCTGCATATTCAGGAGACGTGTTTTCTAAACTACAAGAAACGACACAGGCACAGAACACCTAAATATCAATTTGCAGCAACAGTTGACAGCCAATACAAATCCCTAGTTACATTGAAATTCCAAAAATAGCAATGAGGCATTTCATGAACAAGTCAACAATGAGCCGTTTCATGAACAAGGCATCAATTACCCATTTCAATAAGCCGTTTCATGAACAAGGCATCAATTACCCATTTCAATAAGCCGTTTCGTGAACAAGGCAGCAATTACCCATTTCAATAAGCCGTTTCGTAAACAAGGCATCAATTACCCATTTCAATAAGCCGTTTCGTGAATAAGTCATCAATTAGGCATTTCAATAAGCCGTTTCATGAACAAGTCAACAGTGAGTAGTTTCTTGAACATGCTATTATTGAGCCCTTTAATTAGCAAGTCATTAATGATCCGTTTCATGAACAAATACAAGAATCAGGCCCTAAAAGTAATGAAAGATACAGCGAAATTCAGAGAAGAATACCGTTTGCAATGAAAAGATCATTTCACTCTTCAGGTTGAAAAAAATAAACATTGAAGGCATTATACAAATAATATGTAAGTCATCAATTCGAAAATGGAATCTTTGAAATACGAAATTGAATAGCGCGAAAAAATAATTAATGAGTTTTAAAAAAAAGACACCAGAAAAGAAAGCGACCCTAGCAAATAGGCTGAATTACAATAACCTTTACCAAGTGTTTGAAACCACAACGGTTCAAGTAGTTGAACGTTTAACAGATCTGGATATAGTTTTCACAGAAAATATTGCAAGGGATAATATAAAAGAGAAAAATTAAGTTTTGCTGAAATATGAAGATAATCCAACGGAAAGGTATAATTGTTGCTCTGTGGTTTCAGCTATATAAAGGACCATGTCAACATTTTTTTCTGTGTCCGGATCAAATTCTGTACAAAGTTTGTTATCCTACCCATATCCTACCTTTTGTACCAAATTCGTATATTCCAGCCGCATCAGTTGTGTAACAAAATAGCGTGAAACATTTTGTCACGTATCATTTGAGTTAGCGATAGGAACTGCCATAACACTACCTGGTATTTTTGGTAGTTTGTTACGTTAGTTATTTAAGTGTTAGTCTAAATGTTTATTCCCACCTGATATCGTTCTAATACTTGTGTTAGCATCAGTGTCTCGTTATTCTTATTGGCATTGCTGATCCGAGACAGTGTAAAACGAAAGATAAGACTTCGAAACCTACTTCAAAAAAGTCAACCTTAGCGGCTCCTGAACCATTAGTGTTAGTATAAAGGATTGTTTATTTCTTGATAAATATTTTCTTTTTGTGATGTTTAAAATGTCAGTTCGATTTTTGAATGTCAGGGTATCGAATCATGTCAGAAATAATTTGTCACGGAGATACAGTCCGCCATCCGGTAATATAAGTGCTATTGTTATAATCCTACATTGTTATATACGTTTTACTCGTTAGATAGTTTATCTTTTAGAATTTCTTGTTGTATTATCAAATATTACTTATCTGCTTAAGGAATACCGTTATCTCTTTCTGGTGTTAATTATAGAGTTTAATCTAAGCTTAAACTAGTCATTGAATTAATGTAAATTGTTGTTTTCAACTATATGATCTATTTATTACTGGAAAATAAAAAGATTTTGCTTTGATCAATCTATTTCATGCTTAAAACAATCATGAAAATCATAGATCATTTCATAGTATTTTCAGGATTAAAATAACAAATAATAAGAAAGAGAACTAAATCTGAATGTTGAAAATGTACACCCCTGCAGATGTTGAGAGAGACCCAGGGCCACTTTTCAAGTTTGGGGCCCCTAAGCCCTGGTTATATTGAAACTTGGAAATGAGTCGAATGCCAGAACAACCCCTTATAATTTAGTATATAAATATTTGAAAGACAACTAAGTACACAAAGAAAGTGTTTATTATTTTTAATAATTGTTTTTTTTTTTATTAAAACAAAATGCTTTTTGATGTCCTTATGGTTTGAAGCCCAGACCATATGCCCCACCCGCCCCTCTGACTAGGTCTGTCGATATGTAATATACATGTGTAATATGTGTTTCCTTGACCCATCCCACCCCATTTTTTATATTTGGGCATTTATGTTGGGAGTACACCAACCAGCATAAATGTCCAGGTATCAAAAAATGGGGCACAAAGGGTCAGAAAAAACTAAGATTAATAAAGATGGTTCTCGTAATTCCACAGACATCATACAAACATGAATGACGTATATCAATATGTGTTTTGATGTAGGATAGAACTTAACAAGAGAGTACGTATGGTATCCCAGATTGACCATTATCAGAACTAAGTTTGCCATATTAACACTTTGACAAAGACTTTTTTTCTGTGGAATTTTAATAGTTCTGATCTTGATAAAAAAAAACTTGAAATAGTTCCCTTTCAATGTTCGATCATTTGTTGACCCTTTTTGTCAGTCCTCCTAACTTTGACATCAGCAGCATAGCCATATCGATGATTACTGAATTTATTGCTGGAAATTGGTGAAGTTTTTGATGTAATTGATTTCTTTTTTATTTTTTTTGTGCATATCTTTCACAGTATTAATTTACATTTATATAAATGTTCATGAGTTTTTAAAATGATGATTTTTTCCACATAATTTAATTTCTTTTATCACACTTTGCCATTGGAGATTACGGTATGGTTTTCACTTTGCCATTGGAGATCACGGTATGGTTTTGTGTTTGGTATTTGTTGCCCACTATTATGTCACCCGATACGACTGGAGTCACTCTCTTCAATAGGAACTGTGTCTACTATGCCAGCCAGTTTATCACTTGACTCAGTATACCGTTCTCCCTCAAACGATCATGTCAAGCTGTTCAAGACAACATGAACACTAGCTCATGTGCCACGAGCTTCTTGTCTTATACATGAAGGACAATGTTGATCGTAAATATAATATTAAGTGGCTATAATCTACTAAGCTACATTTATGAACGTTTTATAGACATGTCTAAGTGGTGGTTCAGTGGTTAGAGCGTCCGCTTTGGATGAGGGAGGTAATGGGTTCTATCCCCGGTCGAATCATACCAAAATCTTACAAATATGGTACTGATAGCTGCCTCGCTTGGCGCTCAGCATGAAGAGGTTAGTGTTAGGACTGGTCTGCTTGGTGTCACACACACACACACACACACACACACTATATAATAAATTCGATGAAATGTTTTCCAACAAACTTTTATTTTTTATTTTCAAACCACGTAAATGTTACGAATTAATCAATGCAATCTGGTCGAGAATAAATAAACCAATGTTTTTGCGCACCTTAAATTGTGAAAGTTTAAACTTTCATCTACACCAGTTTTAAATTTTCTGTTATTTTCTCATCAGCAATAAGCTTTGATTTTACGTTCTTCGTAATTTCCACAATGATTAACCAGGGTAATTCCTCTGTCCGTGTTATTACACGCGATAGCAATAGAAGTACTAAGTATAAAAATAAGAAGCAACAAACTTGTAGAGGGAATAAAATTACTGAATTTGAAAGACGAAATTAAAATGCTCCAACATGTTGATGATTGCACTAACTTCACTAAAGACCTGAACTCTTTTAGACACCTATAAAAAGAGTATGAAAATTTTGGGAAAGCATCGGGTTCAAAAATTAACCCTGATAAAACTGAAATACTTAAGATAGGAAACTGGAGGGGCAATCATCCCGGATTACCCCCTCCCCAAAAAAATTACATTAAAAGTAGAGTGAACGCACTAGGTATCTTTTGTTGGGAAAAATGAAGAGGAGGAAAACTACAAGCAAATAATTGAAAAAGTTTTAAAAAATGCACAGATATCTGGGAACTAACGCATTTAAGCATAATGGAGCGAGCCCAAGTGGCTAAGACATATCTAAAATCAAATATGAATTATATTCTTAAAGCTTATGACATAGAAAATAAACAAACTAGAGAAAATAGACAAAGAAATTATCAAATATATATTGGGATATAAACCCACTATATTCAAAAAGAGGCCTTATATAAGTCAAAGAAAAGAGGAGGGTTAAATTTACCAAACGAATATTAATTAAATACATGAATGTTTTAAATCGTTTTAAGTTACTTAAATCAAAACCTAATATGCCTTGGGAGGCATTGTATATACATTGGTTTGGTATATATATATATATATATATATATATATATATATATATATATTTATATATATATATATATATATATATATATATATATATATATATATATGTGTGTGTGTGTGTGTGTGTGTGTGTGTTTGTGTGTGTGTGTGCAGTATGATTTCGGAGGGGTTCATGTGATCCCCCCTTCCCCTTGACCCATGCTGCGGGCGTCCATGCACACAACTTACATAACGCCTGCGAACTCAGAAAAAAATCTATTAAACTCTTAAATTTTCTCTAATGATGTCCGCGTCTATTTGTCATTGAATTTTCACGAATTCGTTTTGTTCACGAATGATTTAAACATAACTCTTATTTAAATGCAGCTCAATATTATTTATTCAATATCTTTTAAAAGACTCATCTGTGTACATGTGATCCACCGCGTTCGTCTGAGTTCTGGAAGAGTCCATATTTGATACTGTAAAGAAATCAAACAGATTCAACTTCGTTGTGGCCGAATATAGCTGAGTATGAAAACTTATCAATTTATCATAAAAATATCGACTCTTCCACGGGTCATGGTGGCATCGAAAACTTTAATGTAAACAGACCACCCTGTTTTAACGCGTATTTAATTAGCCGTGTTAGGCTACGGTGTTGAAATACTTCGTGCGCGAAACGAATATTCAATAATTTTAGCTAATTTAATTACACATGACTGAAAATTCGCTGAGATGCAGACATATGCAGAGATGCAGAGATCATTCGAGATACTGTGTGGAACGAACTAGAACTGTTTCAGAAATTTATTTGCAGGAAGAAAGATGTTGTTTTGGTGTTTAACGCCGTTTCTCATAACAAGACCGCTATATTATTTCATCTCTGTGTTATCGTGTAAACATGATTTCCGGAATAATTTTGAACACGTGCCGTCTATCAGTTATTCACGGATGTAAAGCTGTAGCCAGGAAAGACGCAAATCTCTCAGAGCACACTTATCTCAAAATTATCAACATTTTTGGGCAATTCTACGTTGAAAACAATGAAAATAACTTTTTTTTGTAAAGTGCATAGAATTTCATTCATCATCAGATACAAAACTTGTCAGACTTAAATTTAAATTTACTATATCTGCATTGGTCTTGATTATGTCATTCACTCAAGTTTATCGTCTGATGTCTGAAGATTATAGGTCATTTACCGATGTGGACATACATGTCCTTAGCAGGTTGTCCTTGAAATTTCATTCCATGATATCCTACCTGAATAGGAAAGCAACAATAGCTAAAATATTATTTAAAATCAGTAATAATTCAGTAATAATATTTTTTATAAGAGTTTTAATTGTATGTAAAAGGTTTTCTTTGCCCACATTGCACTTCAAATTCAGACAAATTTGTATATATATATATATATATATATATATATATATATATATATATATATATATATATATATATATATATATATATATATATATATATATTCTAGCCATGAATTTCAAAATAGCTGATATTAGTGCATTCAATTTAGGCATTTAATCTTTTTTTTTGTCTTGGATATATTCAGCCAGTGCAAGCGTGGACATTACAACTCATCAGTAAGTTGCAATTTATGTTTATTATAATATATGCGAGCTACCATACCTAAGTTAGGGGAATACTGCAATAATATAGAGGCGTTCCCCCGTGGTACGGTAACCTGGGTGAGCCGCCAGATACAGTTTTATTTACATTTACGCGATTGGATGGACACACTTATATATATATATATATATATATATATATATATATATATATATATATATATATATATATATATATATATATATATATATATGAATAGACAGAGGGAAAGTCAGAGAAACTGTACAATTTGTTACAATGCAGCAATTTTTTTATTGCTTTTACTATGTACCGATAACAACATTAAGTACTGCATTAATACAGCGTTCCTGGCTATATGGCGGCCAGTCTAGTTGGTCGCCAAATGGCTAACAGTCTTTAGTGATTGATATTTAATTCACTGAAACATGTACTTTTTTAAATTATAAATATATCATCAATGATTACTGAGAATAATGTATATATTTTCCATAAAATGTTGAATTTTTTAAAATCCAAACTTAGTCAGATATATGAAAAACAATTTGCAGATTCATTTTATTCCCGTACTTTGAAGTCTTCACGTCTTGAACCGAAGCTTTCTGCATCAGAAAGTATTCGTGCTTTGCAGCAATGTTGCCACAATGTTGGACCAAAACGTTCTAAAAGGATCAACCATTGGCTCTATGACTTCAGAGGAACCGAGTTCCAGTAATTTTTCTAATGCAAGTTTAGTCAAAGATAATGGCGCTCCTCCGATGATTGCATCACCAGACGTTGGTGACGTCACTGGAGTAAGATCATTGCCTTCACCACTGTCTGCAATGGCCCCTGGCACTCCTTCAACTTCAGACCCTACCATGAAGGTATTTATAAGCGTACACACACACACACACACACACACACACACAAACACACACTAATCCGCAGTAACCTGGATTGAAATCATTATTTCTACCAAACTCTGAAGTTGTTGTGTCTTGTATCCACATTATATTTTTTTTTCATACTCTATAATATTGTTGTATCTTGTGTCCGTAGTATGTCTTTAAATGATACTCCATGAAATTTTTATATTTTGTATTCAGAGCATGTTTTTAAATCATACACAATAATGTTGCTGTGTCTTGTATCCACATAATGTTTTTAAATCATAATCTATTACGTTTCAGATTGAAATATTCATGGCAAAGAAAAATATTTGCCTCTAAAAATTGATTGGACAGTGTTCATGTTTATATTGGTCAAAGAGTGAGATTTATTATATCTTAAAGAAGAATTTGATTTATTACATATATATTTATGACAATATATTATTATTATTATTATTATTATTATTATTATTATTATTATTATTATTATTATTATTATTATTATTATTATTATTATTATTATTATTACATTTGGTTCTAATTGTGCATACATTAGATGATAAAAGATGTGAATTTTTATGAAAACTGGTCCCGTGTTCCCGAAAAGTTTTGATCACATAAAGTTTACTCTAGTTTAAAATATTAGTATCAGATATGGTACGTATATATTAGATCAAGAGGCATAGTTAACAAAATCATACACGTGCTATGATTGTGACGCATAGTTAGCAAAACCAATCACGTGTTAAGATTAAGACGCATAGTTAACAAAACCATATACGTGATATGATTATAACGCATAGTGAACAAAACCATACCCGTGTTATGATTAAGAAGCGTAGTTAACAAAACCATACACGTGTTAAGATTATGACGCGTAGTTATCAAAACCATACACGTGTTATGATTAAGAAGCATAGTGAACAAAACCATACCCGTGTTATGATTAAGAAGCGTAGTTAACAAAACCATACACATGTTAAGATTATGACGCGTAGTTATCAAAACCATACACGTGTTATGATTAAGAAGCATAGTGAACAAAACCATACACTCTTTATGATTGGGATGCATAGCAAAACCTTACACGTTTTATGACTGAAGTTATAAAATATAATTTTTTTTCGATGTCGAGCTTGAATTTGAATTTCATGCATGCGAAACAAGTGATAAGTGTTGGACATACCTATAAAAACATCACTAAGAATAGATTTATTCACAACTGCAAAAATAAAATCGCATGGCAACTTTTCTGAACTTAAACGTTTCTTTCTCTTTCAGGTCAACTTTATAGGCATGGCTTGTCAGCCCAATTAAGTCAAAATAGCATATAGAGCCAACAAGGTATGGGAAATTTGTTCAATATATGGTCCCCATCGACTAATTACGGGATCTACAACAATGGCCTGCAAAGTGTCCCTTCCTATACAATACAGGACCAGTGGCACTCAAGAGACTACTGGCGACATA